TTTCTGAACACGTTGTGACGAAGTCTATTGAACATTATATTAAATAAAGAAATTATTATTATAATTCATAAATCTGTTTTTGAGATTGTATTGCTAATAATACATTACTCATAAACTTACCTTTGACTTTATATTGCTAATAATATATTGTTTAATATACTTATCTTTGATTCGTATTGCTGATAATATGAATATTATATCTTATATTTGACTTCAAAGATTTAAAGACATTTTAATACGTACATTATATTTGACATTGAGATTTTGAGAACTCTTTTTAGCAGTTCAGTTATTATATTAAAGAACACAACTGTTATCAATCTTTAAGTGATTCTATAAGTACTTGTTGTACTTTAATTTATATTCAGTCTAAAGTCATAAAGTATTATTAAGATTTTGAATTGTCGTTAAGACATTGAAAGTTTTTCTTTGAATATTCCTTAAATTTTATAAATATCTTTGAATATTTCGAAAGCTCCATTAAAATGGTAACAAAATTTCCACATTTAGTAAATCAAATTCAATGATTTTAATACCATTAGATACATCTTGACTAGATTTTTCTAATGATATCAAATTCATTTAATTTGGTTCACTGCATGTAGAGATATTTGCATTTCTTTAAACTAAATTTTTTTCTTCGTCTTTCATCACCAGATTCAAAGTTTATTGCAATTTTGCTAGTATTTCAAATTTCTAATGGGATACTCTTTCATATAGGTTCAAATTGAAACTTTTTTTTTCTGGCTCATCATTATTAATAATAATATTAATATTAAATCATTTACTAAAAGATAAATAAATACATTTTAAGTTAATTTATTAAACAATGATGTTTGTATAATATTATTTATTATAAATTTTGTAATTATACTAACTTTTTTTTAAATTTTGTAATATTTATAATACTTTAATACATTTTCTGTAATTAGTTATAATTTTGATTTATTTTATTTATTTTGTAATATTATATATATCACAAAAAATCATTGTTCTTGCATATGATTAGATTCTTTTAATAAGATATAAGATATTTATAATCCAATAATAATTAAGTATGAAATTATCTTGCAAAATATTTGATAAAATTCTTATTACAACAATATATGAGATCATTAAAAAAATGTTCTAAATTTTTTGTATAATTTTGTAATTTGTTACAAATTATGAAATTAATGATTTTTATAATATAATTATTCAATAAAAATGTAGAAGTAAAATTCAATTTATAACAATATTAAAATGTAAAAGCTGATATAAAAATATTTACTAGTAAAATTAAAAACTTTTATATCCAAATATTTTGTTAGTAAATTTTGATACTTGATTATCATTGTAGTTAATTTTATAAACAAATAGTACATATAGAAGATTTATATCAAAATAACGAGTTTTTAGGTTTTATTTAAATATCGATCAAAATTCTAAATTCTTGTCTTTGAACCGAGCTAAACTGATATTGTTTTAAAGACATTAAATCCTGTCAATGCTGTGCTTATTATGCAACCAGGGATTTGAGGATGCCAATGTAGCTCCTTTATATCATTTTGACCCTAATTCATACAAGAAAGCAGAAAATAAGCTCGAGACAAAGAGAGATACGCTATTTGACTACATCAAAGGATAAAACTTGCCTGATGCACGAATAATAACTGGGATGGAACTTCTGTGCCATTTTCTGTATAAATTTTGCTTCTGCCTAATCGGATATCTTCTTCTGGATCATGTTCGACTGAAAGATCCCAGATAGATATTTGATCGTCAGCCCCGGAAACACTTAAAACAGACTCCTCATTAGGATTCCATTCAATTGAAGTTATAGGTGCAGAATGCCATTTGAAAGTGGCGACTGGTGTGGATTTTTGATTATTACTATACAGCAAATAACGTGAGGGAAGGAATTATTTGTAAAGTGAGCAAGAGAAAATTGAAAAAAAATAGCAGGAATCAATTGGATAACCCAACTTGACAAAAGTGCGTAAATCCCATATACTAAACACGCCGTCATCTGAACCGGATGCAAGTAAATATTCAACTTTCCTATTTAATGATAAAACTTTGAATCGATAAAATAAAGAGAATAAAAATAATAAAACAAACTTTCTGTTTAATCACTAACCGATTCCATGTGATAACATTCACATCAGCTTCATGAGCTTTAATTCCAAGAGCTTCTTTCTTTTTATTTCGTGTATCCCATATTCGAACAGTTTGATCAGCGGAAGCACTAGCAAACACGTTATTTTCCGATGGGGACCATTGTAGATCCTCTACAGATGATGTATGTCCTCTATATGGCACATTATCCGCTTTGAAAGTTGATTGTGCACTCGTCGTAAGAAAGATATTTGAGTTGTTATCACCAGTCAACAGTCTATATACGGAGAATATATAATCAATGAATAAATAGGCATGAGACAGATAAAATTTACTGATGACTAACCTCCCGGTGACTCTTCCTGACCAATCCATTGCGAAACCTTCAGTATTATGACTTTCAATTGTATATTTAGGTTTCAATAACTTTTCGTTGATCATTTTTCCGGGTGTATCTAACGATGAGATAAGAGGGTTTAAATCCCAGATATGCACTTTTCCGGTCTCTGACCATGAGGCTGCTATATGAATTTCCCTTTGAGGCGTAACCTAAAAAGAAAGATTAAAAAACAATTAAAGAAAAGAGTTTAAATCCTATTAAGAGATTAATCTACTTACTCTAACTCGGTTAACTCCACCATAATGTTTTAGTCTTTTATACTCCAAAACTGGATCCTCATCTAATACATCATCGTCATCAGATTCATCATCTGAAAAATCTATCATTTATATTCACAATTTTCTTTTTAAAGTTAATAACAATATAATGAACAAGAGAGACCACCATTTAGTTCATAAAAAATTTAAATATAATTTTAATAGTAGAAACTTACTATCATCATTTTGTGTTTTATGCATCTGCGTCATCTTTATTACCATCAACTCGTTGTTTTTTGGCTTATCTGCTTGTGTCCCAGCGACTATATATGCTGTGGCGGGATACTAAAAAAAAATCAATGAGAAAATTATTACAGAGAATTCATATTCATACTTGGTAAATGACGTATTAATGGAGTACCACCCACCTTTCGTCTTTCCTCACCCAATTCATCCCATAAAATATCAAAACTCAAGCATGGCCATTGCACATTTATGGAGTGCAACATCTCGTAAGCAGATTGATCTGCTTCAAGAACTTCATCTTTACCAAGACGTTGTCCCGGAAGATAGACTTTCAAGTTTTGTTGTAATTGATCACCGCCAGCTGCATTCTCTTCGTCGTCATCATCTTCAATTTCCATGCCTACTTAAAAATGAATTTAATAAGACTCTATTTAACAATATTATTACGACGTTAAAAGTATATCTCTGCATAGTAAAATAGGTATTATAAAGCATATTTTATGTATTATCTTTACGCTCACCAACAGAATCACCATTTATAATCTCCTCTTCGGATACTTCTTCCTCACTCTCGAGCTCGTCTTCCCAAGCATCTTCAAATTCACCAATTTCCTCTTCATTATTTTCAGGTTTTATTGAGCTTTTATCAGGTAAATCCAATAAATCTTGTCCGCGTTTCGCCATTTCGTGTTGTAAAAAAAATTGATAATCGAATTTATTACACGTCACATCTCTCACGGGACTTCTTGATTGGAATTCAACCAACGAACGTGATCGAAGTTTCATTTTATACATCAAATGTCTTGTTCTGTAAGGGCTTTGTCAAAGACACTCCGCGATCGAAATTTGCAGTTTGATCAGGAGATTTGAAAGAGCTTATAGCCGAAGCATTTGTTAGATAAACACACCATTTATTTTAGAATTCAGGTATAAAAAAACTAATCCGTAAATTATATCCTAATGGGTTAAGACGCCTTTACGGTCATTTGACGAGCAGGAGTGTTCAACCTGCTTCCCAGACATCAATGGAACCTCCACTACCTCTCGTATTTTAGACTAAGAGAAAACGTTATGTTAATGCTGAAGTTTATCAGAGAACATGGCTGTGCATGCCAGAGACCGTGAATTCGATTGTCTCAACCAGCGCAAAGACGCTGGTTTACGAGATCGGAAAAATATCTTTCCTAAAAAATAAGCAGAGATGGAATTTATCAATCTGAGGCGAAGGCGGATGAGCTTCACGAAATAGCAGCAGAGCAAACATTAATAACAAGAATGAAGCTAATGATCCGGTTCAAGCGAGAAACCATATAATAAGTTTATTTGTTTTAATAGGCGACGATCTTATTGAGACGACATCTCCTTATTAGAGCTGACATCCTGGTTATCTAATTGTAGTTTATCAATCAGCTCCAACTCAACTTTGGATTCAAAATTTTCACGACTGAAATTGATCCATCTTGATAAATAGGGTGATCTTTCTATTCACGAAGAAAATATTTGAAGATTGAAACCAAATAGAAGGATCTAATATATATATATATTATTCAAAAGTAGTGTCACCATATACAATATCTAAACTTAATCAATTTATCTTATCAATATTATGCAAAAAATAAATTTCATTCCTGTAAATTAAAAGCAATTCGATGATTTTTGAAATGCCATTTTCCTCGCTTTTTAAGATTTCAGCATGTTGAGAAATATTTTCAACAAATGTCTTGGACAGACTTTCCTAAACAATCGGTAAGGATATTCCTAAACACCACAAATAACCTTTTGACAATTATCGGTCACTAGAACATGCAGTCAGTTCACCTGTGAGCGTAGTCTTTTCCGTTCTACTGGATCAGACTCTGTCAGAATATGCTTTGAATCCTCGACTAATTGATGGAAAGTTTGTCTTTCCTTCTACAATAACAAGTTCAACGAGGATTAAAAAAGTCTTCTTAACACTCGATTGCTGGATTAGCCACCAAAAACTGTGGTATCGTATATTTGCTTCGGCATCTTATCTCATCAGCAAAAAGCTGAGCGTGATTGCTTTTGATCCAATAAATCTTAGAATCTGAAAACGTTTATGGAAAAAATCTTACACCGGATAATTCTTAAGGAAAACGGATCTGTCAGATAAATCTTGCAAGAAATAAATACGGATAGCACTTTGGGCCATTGTTAGGGATAGATGTATCATAATACATTATAATTTGAAAGGCTTTTAGTTCGAATAAATAGTAATAATCATAGGGGATATCTAATACCCTCGGGTCTAACAATTTTCCTTGTCGCTAAGCGAAAACGTTTACTGAATATAATAATCATGTGAGATTACATGACATAATCAATTTCTACCAGCGATAGGTTAAAAAACAATATTACGAGGGTGGATTTTTCTTATTTTTTCGACTATTTGCTTTTACTCTGCCAAATTTCAAGCAATTTTGGCGTAATTGAACAAAAAATTGCAGGTCGAGTATACGTATGGTTATTATGTAGCATTTGATTAGAAAAAATAGTGATTTGCTTCATTTTTACATAGCTCGAAATGATAGCGAAAATGGTGGTCGCATCAAAGGCGCTGAAAATTTTGCAGATCATTACTTATAAAATTGAATATGATTGGTCAGATTTATTATAAGTGAGATCATTAATGCTGAAATTTTAAAAAATGCATTATTTAAAATTGTATCTTCTCAATAAAAAATATATAAAACTAAAATAAAATACGTTACTTGATAGTATTTATCAAGGGCTATTAAATGACGTATTTTTTTACATTTGAAGTTCATATAGAAAATCCTTTACAATTCAAAGTATTTGATGTGACTAAGCTGGGCGTATCATAATAAATTATATTTATGAATTATCGACACCAATATCGGCGGGAAACTATCCGAAATCTTAATTTGGAAACAGTTTGTAGATCAACTCGGCGAAACTAGTTTCGCCCGAAACACCAGATACAAAATTGCATATACGGAATATTGCACTTAAGGGTTATTTTGTAAACTAAGAGTCGGATGTATTATTTGTTGATGTACGAAGAACAAATTTTTCATAAAGACCATCGAATTAATTCTATCCCTTTATTAAACATTCCACAATTTAAGTTTCCTGATACTGACATGAATCAGTCAATCCAAGGTGAATGACGAAGAGGTCCGAATTCGTTCAACTAAGCTGAAGGTGAAGAGTTGCATCGTTACCTTTTTGAAGCAGTGTTTATTGCGGGATTACATGATGTGTGATGGATTAGTTGTTATACGAAAATGAACGAATTTACAATAATATAGGTCATGCAAAGAAAGACGAATGGTTTGTTTAAATAAGCACAGACATATGCATGCACAAAAATAATTTGATTGTATGCATCATGAATTTAAATAATAAAAAACAAAGGGAAGTTAAATTGAAAATTACTAAAAAAAAAAAAAAAGGAAATTACGATCTCATGACAGCAATTTTCATTTGTGTCTATTTCACTAAAAATTGGTTTATAAAAATAGCTACTCAGTATCTTGTGTTCAGAAAAGTGACTGAATTTTCGCAAATTTATTCCAATATCAAGCTCGAACTTTCCAATGCAGAACCGTTAGCGTAAATTTATCCACCAGCACTTCCAACGACGTAGAAAGCAATCAAGTCAAGTGTTGTATTCCCCTAGGGGCCGAATACGAATACTAGGACCTATAATTTGGGACTGATGCATTTAGGGAGAATGGAGGGTGCATTTAGGGAGGTCTCACTGTATGATAATTTCAAAAATAATTATTAAATAACGAAATACAAAATATGGTTTATCACCTTGAAAGAACATATAGTCTAGATAAAACGAATCCCAGAATGGTATGTTGGATTTTCAAAGTTCGGCTTAACCAGGCTGATTACGGATAATGATAATAATTCTTTAATTTACAACATGAGAACACAAATTATCGTTTCTTATTAACAACCCCTGATTCGAGCAGTTGAGGCTAAGCTTTTTTTCTCTTGTTTTGGCTTAGCCCAAGTATGGAAGGAAGGTATTTCAACTATTAGCTATTATTATGAAATTAAATATAGAATGTAGATGATGTATCGTAGTGGCGGCTCTCCTCTCCTGTTTTAGTATTACATGTAAGTAATCTATACATGGAACTAGTAGTTAATTCATTTATACAAACACAAAGCCTCGTTTCCGCTTATTATTTTAATATTTTAATTTTATTACTTTCCTTTCTGTAACCACCATTTTTGCTTTCTTTTTAAAAGCAATAATAAATATTATCAAATATTTAAGCGACTGTTTATATTGTGGAGCATTATTTCATTAAACCATCCCCAATACTTCTACGGTCGTACATTACATACTGTATGTATTATTGATTGTGACATTTTTCATTTGGGAAACAAGGACAAGTAACAATATTTTTGTTTCGGCATTCTTTCTCCGCGACATTACACTTTTTAATGGTAGATTATTTATTAACAGATAGTATCAAATCATTAGCGAAAACCAAATAGCACACAGAACAAAAGTCATATAATCGTGAATAATGATCCAGTTCGGTGACTTTAACGCGATATGCGAGATGGTCGCGTTAACCGTATGTCCACTTGTAGGTTCGCCGGACGGCATCGAACCAGACTGTTATTCGAGAAATGTCGAGGTGGCTAAAATGCTGTTGTTTCAACCAGGTGATTTTTGATTTAACACTTATTAGTATCAGTAATATAACGCATATCAAACAATATAACTAATCGGATTCTGTCTCTTAGCAACTCTTATAATCCATGTTATTGCATTGATCATGACATCAATCATGATTTATCACATTAAATCAAAGTATACAGCTGTTGGTAAGTCAAAAATAAAAAACACTTTTGACTTTCGGTTGATCTAATTTTTTTAATAATGATTGATTTTATGATTTTTAGGTCGTAAGGAAATGGTCATGTTTTTTTACTTCTACATGATGGTCACATTCTTGGAATTATTACTCGTATCAGGAATTATACCAACCGCATCGAATGTTTATCCGGTAATTTTTTTTATTTTTTGCTGTAATATTATATGTAACATCTATTTGTATTGATTATTCTATTCTCATTAGTATTTCACAGCTGCACATGTTGGACTTATTACTGCCACTTTCTGGTGTTTACTGTTAAATGGTTTTGTGGGATTCCAACTCACCGAAGATGGTACTCCGCTATCACTTTGGGTAATTTTTACTCGAGATTTCCTTGATTGTTAATTGCACACTTTTAACCAATCTGTCTATTATAGTCAATTCGCATTTCGTCACTTGTAATATTCTCCGCAATTTTCTTCTTGGCAATCGCAACATTTAAAGGAATGGCTGCCTTCAATCCACTCAAACCAGTAGCACTCTGGATAGCAATATTCATATTCAACGGAGTAGCACTAGCATTCTACGTCGTTCTTCAAGTCATCTTGGTGCTAAATACCTTGGATGATCGCTGGCCACTCGGCGACATCATGTTCGGAGTAGTTTTTTACGTGACCGGACAAGTAATCTTGTATGTATTCTCGGTGCGGATCTGCGACGCCGCGAAACACTATATAGACGGACTATTCTTTGGCACCATATGTAATCTATTGGCGGTGATGATGGTGTACAAGTATTGGGATTCAATCACAAAAGAGGATTTGGAATTCTCGGTTGGAAGTAAACAGAATGTGTGGGAGGTTAAAGAGTTGTTGGGCGAGGATGAGTTGGCTTATAGTTCTAATAATCAATCAGGCTTTTTACAGGGTGGTGGTGGCTCTTATTATCCACCACAACAACCACAACCACAATCACAACAACCACAACAATCACCACATCCACAACATCAACAAGGATATGGACAACAGCCACCGTATAGTGGATATTAATATTGGAATTGATGTTATATCTATTTGGTAGGATACAGAAAAGGGTAACGACGATGGTCATTTTTTGGTGGTGATGATGAATAAGACGTTTTAGATATTCAATTATTTTTTCATCACATTTTTACATTTCTACAATGAGATACACTAATAATACAGAAAAGCATCAATAATTTATTATTATATTCACCAATATATTTACATCTATATTTTTTATATATATATATGCATGTGTATAATTATCATTATTTTTAATATTTTGATTATTTCCGTTGTTTTATTCTCTATTGTTATACTATTGCTTATTTTGTTTTTGTAAACTAAAAACCGCGAAATTCGATTCAAGAAATCGATTCTCGCATTTTTTTCGATTAATTATATTATTTGTTTTTGATTTGAGATCAATAATTGATTTTATTGATAGCTTTTTGTGTATTTATGTATTCATTGTTATGGCAACGCTACTAGCTGGCCTTAGTAGTATCTTTGGCGCCTAATCTATGTAATATGACAAAAGAACTGCGGCTGAATTCAAAAAATAAACTATTGTCAAAATTTAAACAAACACAAAAAACATCTACACAGCCTCCTCCATTCATTTCTGATGGGGATGACTACATTTGGGTTTTGTTTGCATGTTAAGATGATCGTGAACCTCGATCTGATATAGAAAAGATTTTATTTCGCTCACCCATCAATCACTCATAGAGTCAAGAATTAATACAACAAACCTTAAAATTACTATTATGATGATAATGATTATTGTAAGATTATGATGATGATTATTATGCTATTTATAAGCAACAGAAAGAGATTCATTCTATTGCTGTATAATTAATATATAAAATTAATGATCAGTACTTGGTCAGCTCTCTCCCCCCACGAGGGATATAAATTTTTCATCGCGTCTACTTTACCTTTCATAATTAACTTTTGCTTTCCAATAAATAATATGTATTTATATGTATTATGTATATATATATATAGAGGTATTGTAGATTGTATATTTATCAATATGTCAACGTTAAATTAAATTATTTGATAATAAAAATTAGAATTCATCCACCTGTATTATCTTCTCCCGGATTACCACCTCCTGTTATTCGAAGCCGCTCCTGTCGATATCGTTCAAAATTACGCCGCTTCAGTTCAAACACCTCTGCTATTGCTTGCTTAAAGCAATGGAAATTGTATTCGATCAACCCGTGTTTTTCGTAGTGGTCTGCCCGAAGTAGACATACAAGAGCCAAAAATCTAATTGTTTAATTGATTATTGATTATTATTAGTGACGGGTTTTAACCGGAAAAACATAAACTCATAAATCTCACCTGTTTACCCCTCTCAGACACAACACCATTCCATTGTTCAATTTTATCACGGACGCCGCCTCATCGGCTGTTTCCGTTATTGTTCCATAGTTGGAGGAACTTTCTCCGTTTGTTATGGTCGCGGCATTGTGAGCGGTATTAATTGACGATGCTTTATCATCCGAGTAGGCATCGTTGGTCAAAAACCGATATGTGTTTGTTCGACTAAAACATAGAGAAATGGTATGATTAAAGATATACAGTTTCGATGTATTATATCAACCAATCACCTTACCCATATATTTCCGAGATATCGATAATAACATCAATCATGTCGCTACATATTTCATACGATTGGATGTCTACTGGTGAACTATCAGTTGCAATGTAGATCTTTGAATTGACATCAAATAAGAAAGCTTTTTCTATGCCGGAATTCTAATTGATTTATTAAGAAAAAAATCTTATCAATAATCACCGATTATTAATTTGTACAGTCCACACGTAAACAGACACACATACCGAGCACAAGATGTTCAACAAATTTTCTAACGTCGGCATCTGAGGTATAAGCTTCTGAATAACTTTGCTAAAAGCTTCAAAGATCGAATGATCATAAATGCTCGTCAGGTAGAAACTGATCGGCGCGTTTTCAAGTCCCTCGTCTGCCAATTCATCAGTGGTTCGTTGTTGTATATCGCGTTGCGTGTCAAGTTTGTATTCGTCCGATAAAGCATCAACTTTGTGAATGAATACTTCGAAGGTGAGCTCTGGGTTGACACGACATGCACGCGTCACAGTTTGGTGTAGGCGTTGGAGGGCTTCAATGTAATCATCCTGTGATGATTTGATTAATTGAGTTAATGGGAAATTTTCCACCTTTTTTGTCTTTCCACATTTTTACTCAAATTTATAAATTTAACTAACTCACTTGTGCATCTATCACAAAAATCAACGCACCGTATTCCCCGAAGATGACATTCGAATCGAAAGCTGGATCAAAGTAATCTATCTGACCCGGAAAATCCCACACTTGAAAGTCAATGAATGACCTGTATATGTTAATGTAATAGTCAAGAAGATAACGTTTGATCTTTCTTCACTGTTTGACACGCTTAATGATTTAGAGAAAAAATAATCGAGAGATCGGGGAATTATAAATAAGTTATTGAGGATACGTTATGTTCTCCTTGACGACTTTGCTGTTGCTTTCAAGAAACAAAGTTTCATTTGCGGGCATTTTGTGAAAGACTACTTTCTGTATGCTTGATTTCCCACTCCTGTTGAAGAAACGGCCGAGAGAATTAGAAATATGAGACCAACCACCAAAAAGTGACAAAAACAAACTTTCCTTCTCAAACCCATAATTAACAGCCGTGGTCTATGATCTTGCACTAGGTCAGGCAATTCCTCACCAGTCCTAAAACCAAAAAAAGAGAAATGTCTCGTTATAAATTGTTCGGTATACACCAACCGATGAAACTCAAAGACCATTCCCTCACATTTGCACATGGACATAAACTATATTTCAGTCGGTTTTCTTACCCCAGTTCATCACCAACCGGAGCTGTGTGAAGGCTGAATTCGTCCCCGTCAGAATGCTAACTTGCCAAAATTAGAAACAGTAGACCAGGGAAGAACATGCGCGAACATCCAAAAAATGAGGTCTATTACCTACCGACATAAAAGAATTCATGCTTGTCTTGGTTGTTTCTGCTACTGAAAAGTCTGAACGTATGATTTATATATTGAAATCTTTCAGCCATCAAATTGTGTGAACACAGACCATCTGCACGCCTATCCCGCCAATCAATCTTGAGTTCATGTTAGTTCTATGTATACATTAATGCGCTTGACGAAATATCGATGGGTGTGCATTTAATGAATGGACTTTTTTGGTCTGTTTGATATCAAAATTATTTTTCTCCAATTTTGAACCAGCAACACTTTAAAATACCTCAATCGTCACTGCAACACGCAAGGACTCCTCTTCACGTTTACACTAGAAATCTACGATAAAAATAATGGGAGGGCATCGACATCCTTGGTGGGGTTTCTTGGGAGGTCCGGTTCAACGTGGGATTGTCACCTACTCTCTTTCTCCGTATGAACAACGAGCGTTCGCCGGCGCTTTAAAGTACGGTATCTTCAATACTTATCGTCGCTTCATGACCCAACTTCCGTACATTGGGATTCCTACTCTTATAGGCTATGGAGTTTACCGTTGGGGAACAGAACGATACCATTATTTACATTCCAAGGCGGGTCACGCAGAACTCGAAGCTATCACCAAATAATTAACTGACAGAGACCTACACAAGAATGTTATTTATTCATGCTTGCTTTGGTGTGAAGCATCCATGTTATTGTTGGCTATTAGTAGTTAGTGTAATAAAAATTCAGCAAATTCCAAAACCTTTATTCGGGTACGCAAGGCTGCTTTGTTTTTTATCAATAATAATAAAGCGAAAACAGAAAGTAAACAATATTACAAAGAGAAGAAAAAAGCTATATATGCTATATATACGCAAACTAAAGTGAAGAGAAAAGCAGTTTAACAATTAAAGCGGATGACAATACGGGATATAGGGTATCGAGGAGATTTTATAAAGAAATACAAATTGCGCCAAAGCTCACACAGTTGCTCTTACTGAACCTGAACCCAGTGGTTGTACTAGTACTAATAATAATAATAATAACAATACTAATACCTGATACAGAAGAATGTGATTAATCTTATTCTAGCAAAAAAATAAAAAAGTCCCTCCAGTACTTTATGAATTTATGCAAGGTAGTTATAAACTCGCCTATTTTAGATCGAAATAATGATTAACTAAACAATCGAAATTCAAAAATTAACATAACCGATAAAAGAGAGCATTCTAACCTATCACCCGCTCTCTCCAGATACTCTCGATCAATTAGAGCCTCGATACGTTTCTTAATCATAGCAGGATTAGGCACAAATCTTGGTTGTAACTGCCGTGTCACTTCAGCAATCAAATTATTATGCTCCATCGTCTTCCTGTCTTTCATGATTCTAACAATAGCCGCTTCCGTTTGATGTTTTCTAGCTTCTTCTACTTTTTCCCGTGTATCCTTACGTTCTCCCTCTGTCTCTATTTTACTGGCAACAGTTTGAATTTTAATACGCTGTAAAGGCGCGGAAAAGTCTTTATTAAAGAGGAACTTATCGTCCGCGTTGATTTCTTTGGATTTTGGTTCTTTGACGAGAATTTTGTATTTTGCGCAGGCAAGTGATTGCAGATTACGCTTTAATTCTGCCTCTGGAATATCAGTTTCGCCTTTTATTTGCTACCAAGCAAAAATTAAATTTTGAATTGATATCACATCGACTTTTCTTATATACACACATAGGATAGAGTATTAATATTAATCACTTACCTCATAAGAAAGGTTTTGCCCGTCTGGTAAATTATTGAACATAAGTAGAATCACCATTGCACATGTAGACACATTAATGTCATGTTTTCGAGATTTAAATGTGGCACGAATATCAGCATTTCCCTATATTTAATATCCGAGATGAATAAAATTTTATTTGTCCGGAATATTGTACGATTATCTCTCACCATTTGAGCTTGCCATGTGAGTCTACGTCCACTATGTCGGCCTAGGTAGAATTTTTGGAAGGTTTCGCATGCTTTGGTGATTTCAGCAGGGAAGTTACATCGTGGACTAGCCGCTAAATTCATTGGCCAGAAAGTAGAAGTGAGGACAGTGACACTGAGATCCATTCTAGGACGCTAAAATATGTAAGTGTATAATCAGTATAATTCATGTTCTCTTTTTACACTCTATTCATAAGAACAGTTACTTACATCCATATCTGGTTTATCTAAAAAGTCTTTAAAGTCAACCATGGTATCATTGGAAATTCTCATATCATTAAACATCCCTTCTAGTTTTGTCGTGAATTGATATCCACATTCGGACTGTTTAAAAAAAGCAAAATTGAGAATGAATTCAAATGCATCCAACGTCAAAGCATTTATTCTTATCATACAACCTTCAGTTTTCCGATCATTCCTCTCTCAGCATCGTCACTCACACTTCGTTGATTTAGTAATCTTCTGGCCAGATGTTGTTTGTAGTAACGTTCGAATACGTCTTTTTCGGTTATGAAGCGGAATAATGTTAATGTTTTATCGAGGACATTATCAACCTCTTCCTCTGTTTTCTAATTGAAAAATAAGTGATACAAATCGAGTTATTGATAAAGAAAAAAAGTGTAGTTGTCAATTGAAGAGCGAAATGCATACTCCTTTTAATCCTTTCTTTAGATTCTCGTCGATAAACAACGATATAAATTCGGGAGATTTTGGATTCTTATTGATAAAATCTCCAAAGGCCTAAAGAAAAGTATAAAGTTAAAAAAAATCCACGCTTTAACGAAATAAAAACAAATCAATTAAAAAGAGAGCAAACCTCGTTGAATGATGTTTGAAAAGATTTATCGTTCATAAGTGCATGACCTAAAACTTTATCAAATTTATCTTTAAGATCCAAAACCTCCTGTACCCATCGTATTGCTATAACTGTCCCTGTTGATCTATTATCACCAGCGTTACTAGAACCTCCTTCTCCTGTTGTAGTGGCACTCGTCACAGTTTCATTGATAGCTTTGCCAAGCTCACGGATATGCGCGCTAACGGCACTTTTCATTTCTTCGTGTCCTTGCTGTACTCGACTAAACAATTTGTACATTCGTGCAAGGTCTGTATTTAATATGAAATAATGTGATTACTATGTAGTTGATTATATTTGGATGAATTTGTGAGTTGCGAAAACACGTAATCGCCTTTTAATTATAGCAATATGAATTGATAATTACCATCCATCTTTTCATTGTTCAACATTGGGATCAATCCAGAGTTTTCCATCTATAAAAAATAGAGAAAATTCAGAAACAGAGGGAAAATACAATGAGCCTCTCGTGGGAGAAAAGACTTGCCTCGATAACTGTTTTGAGATGTTTCGAGATCAATTGTTCCTCGACAATACTCCGAATTCCAGGTTCTGTTGTCTGTGAAAGATAATTATTTATGCGTTGTTCCTCTTCGTTTAACCTTTTTTCAACCTATTGATTATTAAATAAGTTATCGGTTTCGAAGTAATCACGCCACAGATACCAATAAATATACAAAAAAAAAAAAAGAAACCTTTTTCATATATTCAGGTGCATCATATTTCTCTACTAAAGTTTGTCCTTCTAGGTTGTAATAATCTTTACTTGTTTCCAGGAATTTTTTTTCAAAATCGGCAGCGTATACGGTGTCACCCGTTTGTGGAGAATCCGTTAATTGTAGCAACATTTCCATTGCTGCCTTGACTGCTGATCGGTCAATTATATCGTTTTCACGTTCGAAGTGGATTTGTTGCAACAGTACGTTCAATAAATGATCTTGAATTGAATAATTTGGTGATCTGACGATTGTGTCTCGGAAGAGATCTAACCCAAGATCGTATACTAATGGAACACTGGCTGTTTTAACATATACACGATCCTTAAATGAAGTAAATCGAAGTAAGCACAATTTTCGGAAACATATACACTTGTTCACACATACCATATACATTAAAATATCTCTAATCATCAGCATGCAGGTAGTATGATCCTCCCAGACACTTTTTAAGACTTTTAAAAAGCTTGCGCCACTAGCTCCATTTGCCGTACCTCCGTGAGAAGTACTTGCATCCGATACAGGAAAAGCAGGCACGATTTGTGCTTGCGCGACTTCTTCTAGATGCTGCGTAATAACCTCTCTGACTCCATTATATAATTTGTCGCCGTTTTTATGAAGAACCATGTTATAGGCATTGCGATAAAGTTCTTCGAAACTGAGGATCGATGCATTTTTTTTATGAATCTCTCGGATCGCTTGAGCCAATCTTTCCCAATTGTCATTGAACTGGCTATCTGTTGGATTCTGTAAAAAGTAAATTTAATATGCTATCAGTTATGAAATTCAACTTTTTTTCGATATTTACATTTTATATATTATTTTTTGCTAAGTTACTGTTCTGTTCAAGTGGATAAAAGGTATGTTTTAGCTTTAGCTAGCTTCTCCTTTGATCTTGAATAATGATTTAGCATATCTTTGAGAAATGGAAAGACGTGAAGTCACTAAATATTTCTAACTAAAAAGGGACTCATACTGCGCCACTAAATCAGCTATATAGGGGTGCAAAGGTAGAACAGATGCTGTGAACCTTTCAGAAATGAGGTTGAAACGAAATGGAAGGAGTGGGTTTGATTTGCACCTAGTCTAATGGCGCACTTCACGTCAAGTAAATCTAACGATAACTTACAGGCTTCTTTGGTACCTTTATCTTCCCCTTTGGACGCTTAGCACTCATGGCTTAACAAGTGTGTGTGAATTAGAGTTGTTTATGGTGACAGTTAAAATCTGGGTTAACTTTTGACGTTTAACCACGCGAAAAGGAGCTATAAAACAAAAGTTCCCACTAGCAAAAGTGTTGACTTCATTATATTTTAGATTTGGGTCACTCATAATGTACACATAAAAAGCCGGTTTGTTTTCCGGTCTTAATCATGGACCCCCGGAATTCACACTCAATGTTGAGCTGAAGTCTAAGTCGCGAATTTCAAAGCTCAATTTGATTGGTCGTCGATCAAAAAGTAAAGCATACATTCAATTAATATGAGCAAGCGAGTCATGTAACGTGGGATCAATAACAAGTAATGAATGAATCCAATCAATTCAATTAAGCTCAAAAACATAAAAACACTGAGGACGTATCATATGTATTTTTCTTGGGACGAGATGCATCACGAGCATATCACTGAGAGGATTCTTGCATTGCTTGCAGAATGTAGTAGTTATATCGACATTATACAGTTTTTGGTATGAAACCTACTTTTGCTTTATAGGGTAAAAAATTTGTTTGACAAGTTATCTCGTTTAAAGTCGAACAAATTATTAATATACACATTATCGTTGTATAGCCGAAAATTATACATTAGCCGGATGCTCTATAAATAATTTGGGTGAAACTTGAGATAAATCAAAGGAATATGACAAAAACTTTAGCATAGATCAACATCAATTATATGACAGAAACGAGCGTTTTGAGAAAATTATTGTTGAAAATCAGAATCATATCTTAATAAATAGATACAATTAGTTTTTGTAAAAACATCTTATAATAAAATATTCAATTAAACTAATTATAATAATAAATAGTAACAATTTGAACTAAATCAGCTTATATAAAAAATTCATAATAATTATAATTATTTATTTATTTATTAATTAGTTTTAAAAATTATATTTGTTATTTCTTATAGTGATTAATTTTATTATAAAAGAATGACTTATATTTTAGCACATATTTTTTTCAGATAATTTGAAAATTTTTTGATTATAAAATGATTTTATAAGAAATAATTGAAATAATATGTTCATGTATAAAAGTAATATATTATTTTCAAATATTTAAATTTTATTGAAAATAGGTTTTATTTCTATATCAAAATAAAAATTATAATCTAGAAATTTTTTTTAATTGCAAAATAAATATTATATTTTAATTAAATAAAAAAAATCATATATTGTTATAATATGAATATTTAGTTTTTATTTTATTGATTAATTTATATTATAATTTAATTGGATAAGATTTTGTTATATTTTATTGGTTAAAAATTAGTTTTAATTTAATTGGATAATTAATTAGTATTTTATTATTGATTCTTTATTTGTGTTAATATTAGCAATGCCAGCAATATCAATAATGCTAATAATACTTGTATAAATATTAAGTAATACTGATAATACTTGTGATCAAATGATTTATAAGATTAATGTTATTAACAAAATTGATTTATAAAATTAGTGTTATTAATAAAATTGATCTATAAATTAGTAATATGAGTACCACAAGTAAATATAACATGTATTTTAGATAAAATTAAATAAATTTTTTAGTTTTAGATTTCTCAACTAAAGATTTCTAAGCTTTTAGCTTTCTCTACTTTAATAAAAGGCTTTAAGTTTTCTTACTTAGAGGTTTTCATTTGAGAATTCTCATCACATACTCTTTTAATTTCAATTTTTATTTTGAATTTTTGTTTTAATAACCAATCTCTATAATAAGTATAGGATTACAAAAGGATAAATATTCATTAATTTTAAATATTGCTAGAGAAATATAGTGCAGTCTCAGCAAAGATCAAAAATCATGTGAAATATTATTTGATCAAATACAATTATATAAATTAAATATGATACCTTATGATACAATATATAATTCATTAATCGATATATCTAAGGTTGCTTGCCGAAATCCCTTAGTAACTGTCTAAATTTTGTCGAAATTATAATAAACTATTAGTAAATAACCCGTCAAAATTCTGACGAATTTTGAAACCCGTCGTAACCGAAATTATGTCGAAATTCTAATTAACAATTAGTGTGTAACCCGTCGAAATTATAACGATATTTTTCTGAAAGGATTTAGGCAAGCATCCTTAGATATATCTAGAATTTGATGGCTTGCTACAGATAATAAATATAACTATTTATAACAACTGGCTTTACAAATATTAGGTATTACATCTTATAGTGCTAGATGTGAATATATATTTTTCACTCTCAGTTGGATTTATGACAAATGGTAATTATAATTATTTATTACAAAAGTTGAAGCAATGGCTAAAATTTGATTATTTTATATTACAAATATTAATAAGAAAGTAAAATATACAAATCAAAATTATAATACACAAGAATTAAAAATTATAATAAAAGAATCAATGAATAATATAAAGAAAGAAATTGAAGACAATAATAATGAAAATAATGAAGATGAAGAAGAATATGAACAAATAAAAATTTCAAATCAAGATGTATTTGTATTAATTGAAAATGTATTTGATTTAAATTCAATATTATTTATTAATAATAATGAAAATATTAAATTAAATATAGATAGTGAAACAGAAAAGAAGAAGAAAGAAAATAATAATATTAGTGAAAAAAGCAGTAAAGAATTATATGATTATAATGTTTAATTATTAATTGCTAATTATAAAGATAGTAATTTTATTATTTTATTTCTATTTTGGATTGTAAATAATTATAAATAAATATTATTTTCTATTATTTGTATCATAAAAATATTAAATAGTACAGTTATTATTAAATATTATTATTATTAATATTGTTATTTCTATTTTGAATTAGAAAAAGATAAACAAGAATTTTGATTTTGATTGGATAAATATGATAGATCATTTGATTAATTGATCAATAAAGAGATCAAGTAATAATATTAAATTTTACTTTACAAGTAAAAAAAATTTTTTATTTCAAGAAAAAGCCAAATTTTAATAAATATATAAATATAAGACTAAACACAAGACTAAATACAAACCAAGGTGAGTTTAAACAATAAGTTTTCAAAGAAATATTATATAAAATTAACTTTTATTTTTAATGAAATTGCTATAATATATTATAATAATAAATAATGAAATAATAACAAATTATAGTAATAAAAAAAGTAATAACAATTATTATTATTATATATTTATAACAAAAAAGAGATAATGTATATAGTAGAGCAAAATTATATTAAAATATCACAGTATTTTCTTTTTTATTTTTTTATAAGTTTTGCTAACATGTAATTACAATATTAAAATATATATTTCTATTTATCCATGCTCTTTTTATCTATATAAAATTACAATAGCATTAAATACATAATTATTAAAACAAAATTGTATTAATAAAGATAATTAATTATTCATTTAATTAATTACTTAGTGAATTTTTTTTTCTATATAATATAATAAAAACTTATAGTACCAAACATAAAGATTCTATTTCAGATCTATTGCTATTATTTTTTCAAATTATTGCTATGAAAAGTAAAGTAGAAGCTTTGTCATATGTATAATTATTATTTTTATATAAAGTAAGTCTAAAATCTGACTGTTTCCTCTCTCAATAGTTACATTTTATAATAAATAGCTTTTATTTATTTTTATTTTAATTTTTAATAAGCAAAAATAATTTAAAGTTATAATGAATTTACTAATTTATTTAATAGTTATTTTTGACAAATTTATTGAATCTCTTGCTAAAATAAATTGCAATTATCCTGAAGAATATATTAAAATAATTATCAATCCAATATCAGAATTAACTAATATTAAATTACTTTATTTTGATACAACTATTGATAATATTAATAATATAAATTTTTATATTGTATTTTAAAAATATTATTTTTGTTTAATCTTTATTAATAATATTAAAATATAGAATAATTGGTGGGCTAAATTCAATCATTATTTAATAAAAATAAATAATGATTTTTGCAAAAAAATACACAATGATATTTTAAATGCTAAAATAAAAAACTGATTAGCTATTAAATTATTTAATATAAATATGAATATAAATATAAATTTTTAAATATAAATTTAATAAATTATTTTATATTCAGGCAAATAATTTGATAGCAAATACTATGCAAACTGTCCAAAATATTTTAACTATATATTTTATTCTGAGATAATTATATTCAAAATACTCTTTTTAAAATCTGGCTTTATAAATTAGAAAATCCTTTTCCTTTACAAATCAAAGTCATTAATGCATCTTCAATTATCAAGCTTAGTATTTATCACAATTAAGAAGTAATAATTCGAGAAGCAAATACTAGTAGATTATTAATAGTAGTTTTGTATAACTGAATTGGTGAAAATATTTTGGAACATTTCAATATCACTATTACTGAGATGTTTGATCTTTATTATCTAGTTGTCCATCAAGAAAATGAATCTCTCAATCAAGATCATTTAGCTACTGCTAATTATTTTATCACATGACAATGTGAAATTTTTACTCATGTCTTGAATTTAAAAGTACAATATTGTGAAAGTGATTTATAATATAGATATAAAATTAAAGTAGTTGTTGCTAATGCACTACTTTTTAATTATATCATGGGCTTATTTTCTATCAAAGTCATTAATAATATTAAAGAGATTCTTGAAGAATATAATCTTTTTCAGCTTGATAACTATAATTATGAAGCAACAAATAAAGATTTTACTATTTCATATATGAACAAGAAAATTCAGTTATCTTTTCTTCTTGAACTTTGCCAGATTTATATTGCAATCAACTATGTAAAATATAATCATATTAATTATAATATTTTGAATTTTGCATTTGCTTGTATTATCAAAAGAGAAATAATAATCCATCAATAATTGAAGAAGATAATTTTGAAGAAGGTAATTTTTTCTTATCCAAATGGGATATTAAGATTGAAATAGCAGCAAATACTCTTTGATGCTGGCCAGAAAAAGATGAATATAGTACTATAGCTATTTTTTCTCATGAATATCAAGCTGGCTGATCTCAAAATTTGGCAAAAGAAACAATAATAGCTATTAAAAATGGAGAGAAGAAACTGAAAATCCAAATCATATTAAATATTGACAAAATCAAATTGCTAATGATTCTTATGCTATAGCTACTTTATTGATATCATTAAAAAAAGATGATGAAAATGAAGATAAAAATGAAGATAAATTAGAAAAAGAAAAATTTGGAGAATTTATACAATTAAGATATAATCATAGAAAATGGTATTAAATTTATATATATTTTTTATATAATCAATTTTTATATATATTTAATAAAGCTTTAATTAAATAATTCAACTTAAAATTTTAATTAATATTATTTATCGATTATATATTAATTAATCATTAATCACACATTGATCATACATTAATTATACTAGATCATTATCTGATTACTTTTAATTGCACATAGAGATCAATAAGATATTAACTGTAATTATTATCTGATTATTATATGATTTTTATATAAATTTATTTTGGTATAAACTGATATATTAGCATTAATATTTAAAGTGTTAATTTTAATTTAATAATTTAATAATTTAACAGCTTGGTTTTAATTTGACAATTTAGTTTTAATTTAGCAATTTAGTTTTAATTCATCAATTTGGTCAATTTGGTTTTAATTTAATAATTTGGTTTAATTTGTTAATTTGATTTTAATTTGTCAATTTGATTAATTTGGTTTTAATTTGGCAATTTGATTTTAATTCATCAATTCAGTTTTAATTTATTAATTTGATTTTAATTCAGCAATTTAGTTTTAATTTAGCAATTCAATTTTAATTTGTCAATTCAGTTTTAATTTGACAATTCAGTCAATTTAATTTTAATTTGTCAATTTGATTTTAATTTGACAATTTGATTTTAATTTGACAATTTGATTTTAATTTGACAATTTAATTAATTCAGTTTTAATTTATCAATTTAGTTTTAATTTGTCAATTTGATTTTAATTTGTCAATTTGGTCAATTCAATTTTAATTTGTTAATTTGATTTTAATTCGGTAATTCAATTTTAATTTGTCAATTTGGTCAATTCAGTTTTAATTTGTCAATTTGATCAATTTGGTTTTAATTTGTTAATTTGGTTTTAATTTAATAATTCAATTTTAATTTGTTAATTTAGTTTTAATTTAGCAATTTGGTTTTAATTTGTCAATTCAATTAATTCAGTTTTAATTCAACAATTTAGTTTTAATTCATCAATTTGGTCAATTCAGTTTTAATTTAGCAATTCAGTTTTAATTCGTTAATTCAATCAATTTAATTTAATTCAGCAATTCAGTTTTGAAGCTAAATATTTTAGTTTTTTAAAAATAATTTCAGCAATCATCTTTACTGTAATATCAAAAAAAGAAATTTGAGTTATTGAAGTTCACATGTTAAGAGTAAAAGAGATTTATTCAGACAATTTCTAAAAGTGAATAAAGTAATATATCTTAAATTATATTCAATCTGATAAAAATAAAATTAGGTAACATACCTGCAATTCTTTTAAATTCTATTTTATTCTTTGTATATTATAATAACTTGATTTTGCATAGTGATAGTTAAAAAAAACTTTGTCTCTGAATTAAGAACTTGTATTTTCTTTTGAAAGAACATTTCTTCAATAATTATGAAAGGCTGATTGTTAATAATTATTCATTTAACAAATAAAAAAAGATACACTTTGAACATGTATAATTACATAAAAGATTTTAAAATTCCAATTCTTAAAAATAACTTGTTATTTTTTCTAATGCATTAGTCAAAAAATATTTGATATTGCTAGTTAATATCTCTGAATTTTCTAATAAACTAGAATATTTCTTTTAAAAATATTTTATCAATATTTTAATTGACTTGTCTTTAGCAGTTTTATATTGTTATCATTTTAATATGACTTTAGGTTCTGTCATGAGAGTGCACGTGTTAGAGTCAGATAGGAGAGTTGAAGTATTAAATAACTTTAAGTTGGAAGAGTTTACTAAGTTATCTAAAGATAGGTAACGTATGTTTGTTTTGTTGGTTAGCTAGAATGAGACCAAAAAGATTCAAAGATAATTGTATATCTTTTATAATAAGTTGAATATTTCTTTTAATTTAGTTTATAAACAAGTAAGATGTAATTTTCTTTTATTAATTCAATATTATTATTAACTTTGCAATATAGACGAGAGGTCAAATACAAAAATGTATAAGATAATATAGTGACGAGAGGTTATAAACAAATATAAGAATAATTTTGCAATTAAGACGAGAGGTTATGAAAATATTATCTAAAGGATTATTAAAAGAATATAAAATGTTTTTCTAACTTATTACTTTTCTAAGCTAAAATACAAGTTGTATTTATAAGTATTTGATAATTATAAAATAATCATTTGCAATGATCGTTCAGAGCATTTGAGATAATCGGTTGAAATGATCATTTGGAATGATCATTCGAAGTGATCATGTAAAATGATCATGTGAGATGATCGTTTGTGATTATGAAAATATCTAATCACAACAGAACTCTCATTGTTAAATATTTTACTCCGTAAAATAAAAAAATATAAAAATAAAGTAAAAATAAAAATAAAAGTAAAAATAAAAATAAAAATAAAAATAATTAAACTAAAATGTTATCTAAATCTATCTCTTCTGAGTTCATTGCTATTTATTTAAACATCTTAACAATTCATTCTTTGAGTCCATCACTATTTCATTTGTTCAGTCTTCCAATTGGACTCAGTTTGAAATATTCATCAATCTTTTTGTAATTCAATGCTCCAGAGAAATTTTTGAAATAATTATAAATTCTTAGAGTGGCTAATTGTTATGAGACTTGATTAAGATCATTTGATTATTATAACATGGTTGGAATATTTAAGAGGTTAGTAGTCAAATTAACAGTTGGTCCAATAAATTTTTGATAACTAGATCCATATAGTTGAACGGTATGAATTGTAGCATTCAAAGTAGCTGGTCTAGCAGGAATAACAAAGAATTTGATTTCTGGTTTCAGTCCATCAACAAATAACATTACTTTTAGATGTTCTGGATAAGCATTGCCTGTATCAATTTATCAGAGTAATTCTCAAACAGCAGCAGAATATTGTTCAATGCTTTCAGTAAGTAATTGTTTTTATTGATTTAATCATTATTGTCATTCATAGATTTTATCAACAGTTCTAAATTGTTGTGTGAATTGGAAAGTAAATGAAGCAGCTTGATTATTTATATCATTTGGAGTATTGGAATTTCATTGTGTTGGCCAATTTGGTGCAGTTGATCTTTTATTGGTGAGCCATGTTCCAGTCATGTTGTTAGCTTGACATGCAATCTCAAAATCCTGTAACCATCCAATGGGATCTTTCATCTTATCTGAAAGATAAATATATAATCATGTCTACATCTGCATCTCTTCCTGCAACCGAAGTAGTAGAAGACTGGAATACAGAACAGCTAATCGTTTTTTTGCGCGATCAAAACTTAGGTCTTACAAATGATCATTTCAACATTCTCCGTGAAGAAGAAATCCATGGTTTCGCCTTTCTTAGGATGGATAAACAAACATTTAGAGACTGTGGATTTAAAGTGGGAACCGCAATAATTCTTTACGATATTGTTAATAAAATTAAGGGCGAAGGAGAGGGTAAGTAGTACTACAACTGCATTCGAATATTCCAAACCTATACTGCTTTCTCCGCAATAATTTCATTTATTAACTTGTGCCATAGCAGACGATGGACCGCCGAGAAAACGCCCAAGGTTAATCAGAGGTATGCTATAATCAATTTTGTTTTTATCTAGATCTAAATTTGAAATATCTGTATTCTATGTCAAACGCATAACATTAATCTAATCAATTGCCTCACTTTCTATTCCAGCTCTCGATGGGGAGCAGGTTTTTGATGATTCAAAATCTATGGCATGGTTTGACCAGGAAGAAGGTAAGGTTTCCTGAAATTCTTATTATTTAATGACCATTATTTGTTAAAAAAATATATATAACATACGTATGTAGAAACCAGAAAGGCATTGTTCCAAGGTAAGTAAATTTTGATGCCAAATTTCTAAAATATCCAGAAGGATTGATTACTACTGACTTTTTCTCGTTGTGAAAGATCTACCAAACGTAATTGTCAGCGGTGCATATTCTCCGGGCGAGTCGAATTTTTTTAAATTCGTTACATCAGGCGTTTTTGTAGACAAATCACTATTCATTATAGAATTTATGATCTATAGTGAACGGGCTATACTTATTACTCGCCCTCGTTGGTTTGGTAAATCCACAAACCTATCAATGCTTTATACCTTTCTCCAACCGGTGTCTGAACAAGAAAAAGGACAGAAGCTTGAATTGTTTAAAGACCTCAAAGTTGCTAAATTCGATTGGTTTATGAAGTTGCACTTCGGCAATTGGCCCGTTATTTACGTTAGTTTCAAGGTAAGTGAGCAACGACGCAACTCTTTCTTTATTGGATGACTAACGAGCCTTATTTTACTAGGATCTTAATTATAAATCTTGGGATTCAATGCTAAGTTCCATCAAGGAAAGAATATCGGAACTTTATAAAGAACATCGTTATATTATTATTGATAAGAAGCTTTATCCAGATGATGAATCTTTATTTATAAATACTCTTGACGGAACAATTGACGAGTCATGTTTAATAAACGCTATCTCCCGTCTAACACGCCATTTTCATGAATACTTTGGCAAACAAACCATTATTCTCATTGATGAATACGACTGGCCAATGGAACATGCAAGAAATTTTTACAACGAAGCTGATGTTTTTTTTAAATCCATGTACTCTAGCGTAGCGAAGGTAAACTGTTACTTAGTGCATATTGTTTGAGTTGTTGGCTAATCTGTAAATTCGGTGCAGGACAATGAATATGTATATAAGATTCTGTTCGTTGGACTGCTTCCTCTAGGTCAAGCAAGCTTCCTTTCTGGACTTAACAATGTTGGGCATTACCCAATGCATATCTTACCTGGTATATATGGGCGTGCCCATTTCTCAGACATGTTTGGTTTCACGGAGAGAGAAGTTGAGTTATTACTAAGTAAAAGTGATTGGAAATTTGAACTCGATAATTTGCGCACTCATTACAACGGATATCAAACTAGTACCAATGTGCGTATCTACAACCCACACTCAAGTATATCATTTATGCAAAAGGGTATTATCAGAGATTACTGGGCAAATAGTGGTTCTGCAATTACAATCATGGAATGTCTAAAAAAATGTAGCCAAAATATCGAAGATCAGCTCCAGAATCTTTTCTATTCATTTTATTCATTACAAGACAATAATTCATCACAAAGACATGTTGAAGTGAAACTCACCCCGCATCTCCGATACGATGTTCTCGAGAAGAAGCTAGATATAAACGCGATCTATACATTATTATGTTATAGTGGCTATTTGACCGTAAATTTCGATGATAAACTCAATAATGGAGTTGATAAACAATGGAAGCCTATCGATGCTAAGCTTATTATTCCAAACAAAGAAGTTGCTGAACAATGGAGGCAGTGGATTATCGAAATTGTAGGCGTAGATCGGCTAAAGATGAATGACATATTTAACTCGTTATTCAAGAAAGATATCAAAAAGTTTTGCGAGCAATTTCCTGCTCTTTTTGCGGAACTAATATCTTTTTATGATATTGGTGATGCTAAAAGAGCCATGTCATATGAGGGTGGGTACCATACATTTGTCCTTGGAGCAATTGCAATGTTTTACAATGATGATTACCAGATCGTATCCAATGGTGAAGCTGGGGATGGTCGTCCTGATGTCCGCATCATCCCGATTAACCAAAAATTTGATACTTGTATCATTTTTGAGTTTAAGCTTGCTAAATCGGAAGACCGTGAAGAAATGAGAAAGTTCGCTAAGAAGGGGCTAAAACAAATTGCTGATAAAAACTATCGGTCAAATACTGCAAGTCATATCGAAACGATAGTTGAGGTTGCCATCACCTTCTGTAATAAAAGCACCTTTGTCTCTGCTCAATGTTTACAACGTAAAAAAGGTAAACTTTCAACACATGCCTGGGAAATTGTTTCATCGGCTGAATCGGGTTAGAAGGATGAACTTTATCAACCACTACATATTGCATTATTAATAATTTGAACATTTATTGCAACACATGCTACTATACGCTCTTGCTGTTAAATTTTTTCTCTGTATTTTTAACATTTATAAATAGTAAAGTTATGCTTGTATTACGATTAGCTTAATAAAATAGCCCTGTAAGCTATGTATTATAACGCCATAAAGGCTCAAGAATTATTTTTTATAATTCATGCCCTGTATTTTACTTTGTGTTTCCTATATCAATAAAGCTGGCCCTGGTGGCCGATTTCATTGCATACATAATCGCGTTTACTTTTGCATACGTATTTCGTGAATTTATTTTATTGTATTGTTATCGATGTATATTAACTCGCATATGATCGAGAATTTTTTTATGTAACTCTGATCGTGAACATTGTTCACGGTTTTTTTATATGAACTCTATATATACTATATATAACAGTATGCGTGGAATTTCATTGTTCACGGTTTTGTCATGTTTTTTTTAACTCGATAATTTAAATAAATCGCGTCTTATATAAAAATTATTATCGAACCATGCAATCCGAACTAGATTTATTAAGACAGAAAAATGCAAAACTGAGACAAATTATAGAGGAAAAAGATTCGCATGCGAAATTAAGAGATGCAGAGCTTAATACCAGAATTGCGGAATTAGAACGATCTGCAAAGGAACATGCTGAGAGTGCGAGACAAAGTCAGACAGAAAATGCTGAGCTTAAGGGCAGAGTTGCAAATTTAGAACAGGAATTCAAGAAGCGGGATTTACAATTCTTGACGGAAGAATGCGAATCTACCTTTCAAATCGAAAACCATAATTCAGATATCACTTCACAAAAGAGTACTAACATTTCTCAATCACCCGTTTCAATTATTGAAACCTACTCCGATGAAGAAAACAGCACAGGCTCTATAGATCTAAAACAGGTACAAAGCGCTGTTTCTTCCGAATCAGGTCTCGACAATACCTCTAAACAGGTAATAAATACAACTTCTATTACGTCTAACCTCAGAGAAATTAAGCAAAGCTCAGAATCTCAGATTCCTGACTCAGTCAAACTAAAATCATTAGAAGAAAAAGAGATCGACGAATTCATAGATTTGGAAAATAAGAAGAGAGTTAGTAATATAATGAGACAGAGGAACAGAGAGACGTTCCAAGATCAAAACACAACTTTGGGCAATGTTCACGATCGAGAAAAAATTATACCAGAGTCTGCGCAAAATGTGCCCGAAAAATATACTAAGGATTCAAGTTTAGTGACCGAAATTGTGCAAGGTTTGTTACAAGGATTTTTAGTAAATTCTATAGAAGATAATATCGAATTTATTAACAGCGAACCCTCAGATTCTCCACCTGTGCAGTCGAGCTTGCTCATTTGTTGTATCAAGCATGTAAAGCGACAAAAAAATCTATCAAAACTAAACGGGAAGAAATTTCATCCTGGGGTCGTTATTCTGAAAGATTCGAAGATAAGGTTATAGAACTTAGATCCAAAGACAAAAATCTTAAGGATAAAACTGCAAGAGCTCAAATTTATAATGAAATGAGACCATACCTTACAGGCATTACTGATGAGTATTTACGCAAGATAACAAGCAAAGCAAGAAAAATTAATAAGTTGTTTGGATATGATTACGATCCTGTGACTTTAAAAAAGAATAAAGGTATAGGGTGGCACATGGTTAATCGTGTTACCTACAGCGCTGATACTAGTTCAAGACTTACTAACCTTCAAATCCAGTATACTATAGATCAAGTAGGTGTGACAGTATCGAAAACTGTGAACACCGTTCACGATCAGACAAAAACTGAGGTGAGTACTCAAGCTAAAGTAAATGTGTTAACCAAGTCTCAAGTCTCTGAATCAGAAAGAATAGAATGCGGGGCATCAGAAATCAAGGTAGATACATCACCCGAATCACGCCAAACTGTACCTTTTCAATATCAAAATGTTATTGACACCCTATATGCACCGGCCAAATCTCAACTCGAAGAGGAGATTCTATCGGAAACTCAGGTCAACCCATTACCCACGTTACAGATAGGCACCACACCTATATCTATATCCAAGCCAATTCATGACCGTGCAAGTTTTCGTAGGAAAGTATTAGATCAATATCCCGATATATATTATGAATATAATGATTATTATGGAATTACTGACGAATCTTTATGCCCGCTATGCAAGTTAGATCATGATGATAATAATGGTATAGAAGGTAGATATGAAATCGGATCCTATTATATTAAATGTGAACAGCGTGGAATTGAAATTGAGATAACAGCATGAACTTAAACTTATATTAATACAATTCGCTTAAGTCTTTAGGGTGTCTCTCTGAGGCATGTTTATTTTTTGTTGGTTATTGTTAATTTAAATAGATGTGCGATCATATAAAACAGGAACATGAATATGCAGACAATGGTCAATAAAACATTAACTCCTGAATATTTGGAGTGGAAAGCTAAATTAACAGAATTGTCAAGCATTTTGATAGATAAAATTCGTTCTAGGTTATATAAAAGATATAAGAAAAAAACTGAACTCGATCCCTGGATAAACTTTGCAACTTCTGAATCTTTACAAATCGAAAATGTTGATAATCATCTTTCATATATAATTAAGATTTCTAAATTTCCAAAAGAGAAAGATATGATTATTGAAGTAGTACAGAAACAATTTCCTTTCTTGAGATATATTAAATCAAATGCATGATACTGAGATGTTTTTAAATATATTGACTTAGAAGCTGAATGTTCAGTATGCAAAAATGTACATATACGTTTAGATATATGGGATAACTGGAACTGTCTAGGTAAAAATAACTACTATTATCTTAATTGCTCTTTTTGTATTGATCAAAAGAAAGTTATAATTGCCATACAGAGTTTGTAGGAAAATGTGTCAAACAAATCTCGAGAAACAGAACCTCATTCACTAATTCATCCAAACAAAACCTACCTTTATCAATATATCATCGAACATAAAATAGATTCTGAGAAATTTTCAGTCATTATTGAGGCTGAAAAAAATAAATGGATCATGGAGTGTTTTCCTATTGACTTGAAAAGAGATATATACTTTTATCACAGAGGAATAAAAAGGAATGAAAATATCAGAAAATATCATAAATTTTTAATAGATCGGGATAGACTGATCGGTGAAGAGTTATTACATCACAGTATACTAAAGAGTGATTTAAGTACTACATGACTTGATAATCTTATGGAGGACTGGAATAAAACTTATAATCAATTCATTCAAGTTTTTAGCCAGGCCTAGTCAAAAAATAACTCATATTCTCCGATCACAGAAATAAAAAATACAATTGTAAATAAGTTCATAAAATTTTTGTTTCATGTCACTTCATGGCTATATCTCAACTAATTTTTCTGCCTATTCACACAATTGCATTAAATAAAAAATGGGAAGGCCGTGAACTCACTTTATTTAATATAAAAAATATCAGAACAACAATATACAAATAAAAAAATATATATTGCAGACAAAAAATATGAATTATTTATTAATTTTGATTTAGCCTTTCTCCTCGTTATTCAGGATTTTCATGCTCATTGAAATTTTTTTTCTCACACCATTCTGAATATTCTTCTGAAAAATTATTCAAGGGTTTGTCTTTATTAATATTATAATCATCATCTTCTTTGGGATCATAGGTTGAATCATCTAATTTAATGCACAAAATGCACAAACATGATCTGATAAAATGAGTTTTAGCCTTAGTTTCACAAATATATTAAGAGCGCTTTCTAATAAAAGTTACCTCTTAACATATTTGTTTCTCTTATTATTACATTGATGATTGGAATTATGTGTTCTTTGATTAGTTCTAGAGGTATTATCATTGTTAGTCTCAAAAGTATTAGAATTGTTAATTGTGGGAGCATTACTATCATTGATCTTGAGGATGTTATCATCAGTCTTGGGAGTGTTACTATCATTGATCTTGGAGGTAGTGGTATCATTAGTCTTGAAGGTGATCTTTTTATTACTACTCATTATTAGTACCTAAATACAAAAAACATAATAAATAAGTAAAAATTTATTTTCATAGTCTCCGTTAAATAAAATAACAAATTACTTTAAAAACAAATTACAGGTAAGTGAATCAAGTAAAAATATATATGAGCAAAAAACTTTATTGCTAACTTATCTTATGGATAAAAACTTGTTTATTTTTATATCATTCATTTGCTAGATCTAAAAAATTTACCAGAAAAAAAATTGCTTAATTAGTAATTGTGATAAGGTAATGCAATCTAGATCTCACCATATGAAGCAAGTCTATTTGGTCATAAGTTTCAAATACTGAATATATTTTACCATTTTTTAGGTAAATTAAATCTCTCTTAGATTTGATGATTTCTCATGCGAAGTGAAAAAGTTAACGATCTCAATGATTTGTGAAATTTCAAATTTCTATAACATATAAATTTTGATAAAATTACTGATAAAGAATGTTATACTCTTTACCATTATAATCTTTTTAAGTCCCACTCTTATTGTGGGATTATATATAATTAGAAAAGGACTAGTTTTTTGTAAAATTGGTTAATGTTTATAAAAATTGATGTTAAGTAATTATGCATTTAGGTAATACTACATAAAATTTAATGCAGATCATTGATTGTTAAAGTCAGTCAAGTTTTTATCACTTATTTATTATTTTAGCCTTGACCTAGACCAAAATAAAAAGTAAATCTGAAGTCATATGATAGTATGACATAATAAATACTTTATTTTTTCCAGCGATTTTTTTTTGATTTATTTTGACATATTGATATGGGACTGATAAAAAATTGTGATTATGAAGCTTCTATTTTCAGATTAGTAGTTAAGTGAATTAGATAAAAATTATTTATAAGAGACAGCTGTGCTATATAAACTTATAATGATTAAATATTTATGGCTTATTTTCATATACGTACTGTACATGTATTAATATTTTTTTATACAATATAGTAATAGTCCTTTTTTTATTTTAAATATTATATATTTATTATGTCACAGTCCTAAATTCTAATACGTATTAATCTTGAAATTGACCTTGTATAATTGATTGTGTTAAAATAAAACTACAACATGTATGTACCTGCGATGTTAAATTATTTACAGCTGAATATACATGATTTCAAAGTCACATAACATCAATATAAAATCCTTCTAGAGTATTTTTTTATCAAACGTATTTTATCTTAGATAATTTTTGTGTTGATAAGACAATTGTCAGAGCTATTTGTATAGGTATACTTAGTTATGCAAAAAATTTTATCTCTAATATTGAGCGATAGAACCTTTGACTATGTGTGTTGTAAGATTGAACATGCTCATAATTACTATTTGATAACCCAGTACTTTGACGAAAGTGATTGTCTGTTCTGCAAAATATACATAATCTAGTCACCCTTAATAATATAGTTTTTTTAGGGATAGTCATCATCTTTCAAGGTAAGTCTAGGATCTGATTGTTATCTTCTTATAATTTATTTTTTTTATATTCTTAAAAAATATTGCTTTGAGAGTGTGATCATCAAATTATTATTATCTGTATAGTAAGAAGAGAAAGATTATATAGACTTTTCACAGTTTAATCCACTGAACTACAAGATGAGAAATAGTTTGAATGTATCCATCTCGAAATTTACATAAACATACTGATATCCTTTTAATCATTCTCAATCATCTGTCATACTGGCTCATGCTGTTATATAATGATCTTTCGTCATAATATTTTATTGAATTATAAATATCTCATATATTATTGGATAAAGATTATATCACGTGAAGTGAGCGAACAAGCGAGCGAACAAGCAAACAAGCGAACGAACGAATAACTAAGCGAACGAACAAATGAACGAGCGAACGAATATTAAACCAATAGAAATTAAGTGATATAGCGTACATAAATTCGTATAGCCTAAAAATTATATCTTGAATTTGTATAAAAGCAACATGTATCATAGTTATTAGAATTAGATATGAACAAG